GATAACCCACTGTGGGCGATTTAAACACTCAGTGGCCAGAAGCGGCTGAAGACCAGCTGATGCACATGCAGATGTAGCTCCTCTAGTTTGACCTGGATTCTGGTAGACTGGGTCAGAGGTTCTGGCTGATATCAAGTCTTCACCGCTGGATGATTGTCTCATCATGGTCTTGTTTTCACGATATTCACCGCCCTGCGGCTCGGGTGTCCACCACTGCTTTATCTGAAGAATGCTGTCCTGTTTGGAAGAAGGTTCTCCCGCATAGAAACGGATTATTGTGCATTGAATTCCTTTCACTGAATATTAAATGGACTTCAACCTCTTCACAGCTCTATTACCTTGATCTCCTCTGGTTCTGATAAACCAAATGAAAATAGTAAAGACTTAATTTTCCTTTCAGAAAGGAAGCAATACGAGGACAAAAAAACAAACACATTTCTCCCTGTTTTTACGGCTGCTATCCCCAGAGCTGAGGATGTAATGAGTGTGATTTCTACTTTATAACTGGAAGAGGTAATTATTACAGACCTGCAGCACCGATTAGAAGCTTGCATTCAGTCATGAGGGCCATGAATATGATTCATTGTGAGCTTTTAAGAACATGTTAGAGTACTTTGCCTGGAGCAGTCTAATAATACAAGATCCATTTCCATTATTTTTAAGAAATAAGTGGTTTCAGATGTACTGTGAACTTTCCTTATTTCCAGTTTGAGTCAAATACAAACATTTATGCGGCACCCGAGTAAAGGTTTCTTACCTAGCTTCCCCTGACCTTTGTATGGATAGTTTAACACCGTCTGTTCAGGTTTTTCAGAGTCCAATAAAAACTGGTTTGTATTCAGGGAAGAGAATCCATGGGAAGAGGGGAAGTTCTTCATCAGAACCTCTGATTTGTTTTGGACTCTGTTTTTTTGAAAGACCCAACGATGTCTAAGTTTCAACCATCCAGCAGTCTTTGTTGGGATGAAGTTGAGGACCTTTGAAGTAGCCTTTTTCTTTCATTTTTTTATCCACTCACAGTATAATGCTGCCATTACCATGCTTTACAGTTTGGGCACAGTTTCCTGTGTTTAGGTTTAGTGGGTCAGTATTTTATTATTTTTTTTAGGTCAGTAACATCTGAGTCAGCTTGGAGTAAACCTCCCCGTGAACCTCTTTAGATGAGCTCTAGCCTATTGGGTTGGAGGAGAGGACGGTGCCTCTAGCTTGATGTCAGCTGCAAAATACAGGTGGTTTAATAGCAGCTTACTTAAGGTCTGTGACTAAACTATTATTAATGATACATGTTTGTATTTGACCTTCTATGTTTACTTGCGACTAGATGAGAAAACTCCCTTAATTCAGATTCTGTGTAAATATGAACTTCATGCCCGTAATGACCGTATGTAAACTTCTGACACGGTGCGAGATGGGGGAAAACATGCTGTTAATTGGTATGATAAGCTTTATGCACTTTCACCACAGATCCTGTCTGCTCATGTCTGTCAGACTATGGGATAGGTGCATTCTGGGACATGTAGTTGTATTGGTTTGTTTGAGAGAGCTCCTCGTTTGTTATATTTAGAGGGTTTTAGTGAACATGCACCACATGCGCTGAATGCTGCACTCTGTTGAACACCGGATATTTTACTCACGCTAGTTCATCCTTAAATATAACCTTTTAAGACTCAAAGGAGCCATTTCTAGTTGGTTACCCGATAAACTAGGAAGACTAAGACTCCTCTTGGCTCATAGTTTTTGACTTTATACAGCAACTTTAGGCAGAGTCACCTGTCCCCTAGTTTATGATGTTCTTCATTAATGCTCCCATTAATCAGATTAAACTTCAGAAACGGGTGGGGCGTTCATTTCTTCGGTCGTATTGCTAATTTCAGCATTAATTTGTTCCATGTTGGAACACAGGAAACTCATTATCTTCACCTTGATCATTTATTCCAGGATTTCAACTCTCTAATGGTCCAACAATAAACTAAATGTTCGTACTTAAACATTTCACTGAAATCTTTTTGTTGTTTAGAATATTTGAATTCCTGATCTAATATTGTAGAAGCTGTATTTGGACTGTATGCCTGTTTTTCTTTTGAGTTTGTAATGGGGAAGGAAATGCACTAAGAGTTGGAAAACAAAGTGGCAATTAAGCTTTATTTCAAATTTGGGGCCTTAAATTGTATTTTTTTTTTTTGACATTGACAGAAAAGTGTTTTGTTTTTTTATTTCTATATGCTGAAATAGGTGCTTCACTCTATACATCAGCAGATATGTATTTCCTCTGAAAGCTTTTCCTCAGCAGATTTAATGTAAAGGGAATGTAAACACACATACCACTGTACAAAATGCCTTTCTGGAGGGAATATTCCCAGATGCGGATGGGCATCAGCTTAACTCACAGCGTAGTGTCACACTATACTGAATGTCAAAGACAGCAGAGGTACTGCAGCCATGCCACAGCATCTAGGCAGCTTTTTATCTCCACTGCATCGTAATCACCAAGTAGCAGTGACGCCTCATCTAATGTGGAACACAGTAAATGGTTACTTATCTACACAAAGACCAACAGCATGATTACCTTTCAGCTCCACTGTAAAACAAGAAATGCTGATTCTAGTTCAGTGCTATTAAAGTCCAAGATTCTAACCATAAAAGTTTTTTTGTATTTTTTACAGCAAACTCCACATGTATTAAAGAAGTGAATATTTCATTTCAGCAGAAATTTGCAGGGACCTCCGTTGTCATCGCCGCTCCAATTGGCAGGGGTTTTAATCCGGTCTGCTTAGTAAACCAAATAGATTGGTAAAAGTGATTTACAACATCTGGTAGAGCTTGTTCAGGGGGTTTTCATCTCTCACATCACGGAGAGGTTGGCATTCAGAGCCTCTCAGAATCATGACCACTCCCAGAGTTGAGGTCCATGTTCATAGCCTTTATTCTGGAGTTATTTCTCCAGGAGTCATGGCAGAAACCAGAGAAAATGTCTGTAAATACAAACTTATATGCAGAACAAAGAGGTTTTCCTTTCAGAACGAAAGAAGAAGAGGAATGGAGCTATAGTTGGATGGAATAAATTGCAGCCTGAAGTGACCCAAATCCAATTTTTTTTTGCCCATACGCGACCTGTATCTGATTTTTTCACTGCAGTCTGAATAACACAGATCCGATTTTTTCCAATGCGACTGAGGCCACTTGGATATGTGGTCCTGAATCCGATACGAATCTGACCTTTTCAATTGTGACCTGCCTGAACAGCCAGGTCGCATTTATCCGACCTGAACGTCATTTATATTCAACAAAGGTCACTATTCTGCATCTTGCTGCGCAGAAACAAGAAAAAACAACAACCATGGTGGACGATAATGCAGAGGGCAGTCTTTATTTTCAACCCTCTTAAAAGCAACCATTATAACTACTCTCCATAAGCCTCTTAATTATTTTTAATGCACTGGCTGGGGTTGGGAATGAAGGACTGCTAAATGTGCTCCAGCACTAATATACATGTTTACCTCCGTAAACACAGAGCACACTCGCTTGTGACCCTTCGGTTGTGTGAATGCAGTTCACACAGGTGATCATATACAAGTTGCATTTATTTAGCTACATGAAAAACCATGCAAAACAATTGGATTATACAAAAAAATCTGAATTGAGCATTAAAACCTGCATTGTGAACGCAGCCTTAGTTGTGAAATCTCCATTATATTATCCTCCTCTCAGCTTTTACCCAGTTCCTCTTTAAGTCACACAACCCCAAGGTAGACTCTGAGTTTACTATCTGGCAGAAACGTGGCATTCTTAATTTTGAGGACTTGTACATAAATGATAGCTTTGGAGGCTTTGAAGATGTATCACATAAATTTGGCCTCCCTCGGTCTAGCTTATTTAGATATTTCCAAATCCGCCACTTTCTTCAACACCATGACCCCAGCTTTCCATACTTATTACCTTCTGGTCTAGATGATCTATTAAAATCTCAGTTTAATTCCAAAAGACTGGTCTCCAGAATCTATGATAGTATATTCTCTTTTAAAAACATAACACTAGAAAAGACCAGAGCAGACTGGGTGGAAGAGCTGGGGGAGGACTTGGAAAAGGACACTTGGGAGAACGCTTTATTAAGAGTAAACAACAGCACTTTCTGTGCTAAGCTAAACATTATTCAATTTAAGGTCCTACATCGTATTCACTATTCCAAATCAAGACTAGCTAAAATATATCCTAACACAGATGCAAGATGTGACAGGTGTCGAAACACTCCAGCTGACTTGACGCATATGTTTTGGTCATGCCCAGCCCTGGCAACCTACTGGTCAACCATCTTTAAAACATTGTCAGAAGGATTGAATATTAATCTTCAACCCAACGTTGCTATGGCCATATTTGGTGCCACAGATGGAAGATATACGACATTAAGGGAAGGCCATAGAAACATAATTGCTTTTACAACGTTGCTTGCACGGAGAAGAATCTTACTGCATTGGAAATCTAAAAATCCACCCAAGGTGTCCTTGTGGTTTAGTGACCTGACACACTTCATGCAATTAGAGAAAATTAAATTTACTCTAAGGGGGTCTAAGGACAAATTTTTCTCTGTCATGGGTCCGATACTGACACATATACGTAAACTTAAAACTGTGCCCACTTAAATATCCTCTGCCAGTCCTCCTGCGAATGGATATGTGATCTGGATCTAACCCATGTGTACCATTTCCTGTGAGGTGCACAGTCTTGGCGCTGGAGAGCTGAGATAAATGTTCGTTATGTACACTTGTGTGCGTACATATCTGGATGTACATATGTATGTAAAACTGATTTTTTTTAAATTTCTTTTTTATCCATTTATTTCATTAGTTTCATTTATTTTTATTTTTTTTAATCAATATTCTATATATATATGTATATGTACGGGTATCAGTAAGCGTATATGTATACGTGTATATATATGTATATATTTCCTATTTATTTATTTTTAGCTATTGTCTATTTTTGTATTACTTTTAACTATCTACTCCTGCTAGATTGGTGTCCAAACGGTTCTTGGATGGGGGGGCTAAAATATATATATGAGTATCATGCCTCTTGTATGGAAATTACAGAATGTACCACTGATGCTCAATAAAAAAAAAACAAAGTCACACAACCCAACAGCATAATACTGCCAATACATAAGTGATGGAGGGGAATCCTGCTCACCTGGATCCCTCCACGATCCCTCCTGAATAAAATGGGTCAAAGTGCTGAATACATGAATTACTCATGGTTGTTAAAAAAGTGTTAATGATACGAGGCTGTAAACTCAGACATTAGGAATTAAATTATTTTAGGATTTAAGCATCAATTTGTGTTTTCCTAAAGAGATCAATAAATGGAGACCTGCAGCGCAGTCGGCGTCCTAATCCTGCACCATCTGTCAGATCAGGGCCGGTCTTGCCAAGCAGCTCCTCCTCATCCAAGTTCCTTCTTCTCTCTCCCCTTTTCTTTTAGCCCAACTCGCTCCCTCCTCTTTTCCAAACCGCTTGAGAAAAAGCTTTAACTTAGCTGCTTTCCTGCACTTTTTTTATTTAATCAGATAATAGCTGAAACCATTCATCCGTACATGCATAGAATTGGACAGAGGAGAATTCTATTGATCAACCTTCAGTCTAGACTACTACTGTAAACCTATCAGTAAATTTCTGTAAATTATAAGCAATATATTTAGTTTCACACAGAAAAATTGTGGTCCTTTTAGCAACAACATATTTTTATGTAACATGTAAGCAGGTTAAAACAGATCTAAAGAATAAAAAAAGCCTGATTAACGTTTAATAATCTCCAGCTTGTTGAAGTCATTTAACGATTCAGACGAATAGAAAATCCATCCTGAAAATGGCTCCTTGTTTTTCCACGTCTTCTTTCTTGACGCTTTGTATCACTGCGGCTGTGAGACGAGCTGCTCTCTGCGCTCCGCACTGATGAAGAAGCGTAGTTTCCGTGGCAACAGCCGTATCTCTACGGGCATCGCTTCATACTCCTCATTGTCAATATTATAGAAGCCGGCGTTGCCCTGCAGGAACCATGCACACAGTTTAATGCCAACTGAATTTTACAAAAATCAACAAACACTAGAAACTAAATCACATTCGATGAGATCTGCTCTGACATGAAGGTGGATCACAAGGATTGCTCACCTCTGGCAGCTTAAGCTGGCAAGCACTGGCTTCCAGTTTTGTAGAGTTCTCAGTGAAAAGCGTTGGATCCTTCACTTTTTTATTCCTGAGGGAAACAATATTTGCATAAATAAACATGGATACATTGGATCTGTTCTTCATGGCAGGAGATGAAACGCTGCAGCCACTGACCCCATGGAGATGAACTCGCCCACGGTGAGGTTCTCTGGCTCAGCACAGATCATCAAGGAGTCATTCATCCGCTATGAATTCACACATTAAAAATGTGAATTTTGTCTTTATAAATGTCTTTATAAAAAGATTAATAAAAGAATGTTCTACTGACCCTCTCTACTGGGTTTTTGTTGTGGGTCTGAATATAAAGCTCTGATGTAGACAGATGTTGCTCCTCCCACTTCTCTGGCTCCTCTGATTTTGGAGGCTCTGAGCAAACGGACCCAACATAAGCTCACTCACCATTAGCATACTGGAAACCTGCAGGTTTAGCATCAACATAATAAAATCTGCCTACCTTCAATTGGAGGGTTCCAGTAGTTCTTAAGTCTGCGGATGATGCGGTACAGTAGGTTAGGCCTGGGGGGCTTCTGAGGTGCCAGATCCGGGGGCCGAAGTGTGGGAGCCAAGAAAGAAACCGAGACGTCCTGGACCAGAGGCCACTCCTGCAAAACATACACATCAGGGCAAAATTGCAATAGAGCATCATGGAAGGACAGAACTACAGTTAAGAATTTAATTTTCTTTACAGTAGTTATCGCTGCAACTCACGATT